CTTGCAAGCCATTCGGCTGATCTCGCGTATGGTATTGTTCGGGTTTACAGTCTGGTCGAGCAGTTTCGCCAGCATGAAGACTGAATGGAATACTCCATTGCGTCCGAAGGAGACTACAAAATATTGGTGTAATGGTAGAAAGTACTTAGAAATTTTTAAAACGTATTAATTAAGTATCAAATATTCTTCAGTTGGTATTAAAAGAATTTCAGAGAAAAAAATGTCGAGCAATTAAACGCGAGGTAAAATCCTTCTGAAAGAGAAGGACTTCCCCTTATTTAGATGATGATTTGGGTGATCCCTGGCAGTAACGGTAGATCATGATCGAGGTGGATGTAACGAATCCCCCTCGGCTGGAACGTCGATTCTCGAGTGGTCTGCGTTTCACCTCGAAGGTTGATCCCTTTTACGAGGTACGCGATTCTCCGGATGCTAATACGGGACGGTCAAGTAGCGACGTCGATGGTGGTTTGGTATCCTCTTAATTGCAATCAGCCGGAACAGTCTCGAGAGTTCGTCACTGATTGCTGTTCCTCTCTCTCGCTCCCTCCGAACGTCCACCTCCCTGTCCGCATATGTACACACGAGAGATGGTACGCTCGCGCGCAACAATAGAGGCCCCATGTGTACGTAGGTGAAATCGAGGAGCAATTACCGACGCAATCTCGCGACCTAAAGAGGATTAGCCCGCAGAGAGAAAACGGGAGGGAGGAGGATCTTGTGCATGATAAATAATTATCGAAGGGGAATTGACATTTTTATCGTTGGGTGGTCCACGATTATCCTTGTTGGGGATTTATTGGAATCCTTTCCAATGAAGAAAGACCAGTTCAAAATTAAATTGCATTAGTGCGAGGAGAAAAAATTATTCGGGTCTGAAAGGGTTAATTGCCACTCGTTGAACAAACACCCACTGTTTAACTTAGGAAGAGGATCCATCTATCGGCCGAGACAGAGAGCCCGTCATGATCCGCTAATAACCAGCAATTGATTGAAAAATAGCGACCGCAAAAGCTTCCTTCCTCGTGGGTAGCAGGAAAGGATGAGAAACTATCCGCGTGATTTAGGTGAATACCGGGCGTCCCGAAACGTGCCGTGCGAAATATATTTCCCCGTTGTTCCAAGAGGAAGGGCTTCTCGGTGCAACTTTAACGAGAAGGCGTCGGCGCTTTCTAAGAATATACGATCGAGAACGACGATGACGGCGTTCTGAAGTAAATCGCGGTAATTAATTGGGAAATTATCGTCGCGACCTAACTGCCTGCCACGGATCGGAAGGAAACGTTAGGATCGATCGAGGAACGTTGTACAGATCTCTCGGAACAATATTGATAAGTCAGAAACGTGGGGTTCGATCTTTTCGTTAACACGTCTGACCATTGCTGGGCATTTCTACTTGCTGTGGTATTCCTGAGCCTCTTGAATTCATTGGCTCTCTTGAATCACTATTTCCGATGATTATCTTGTCGTTACTCCTGTCCTCGCTTTTTAAAATCATTCCACATCCTCTGTAGATATTGTTACAGGTCAATAAATCTACCCATCCACTCACCTCCGCGATTAAAGCTCTCTTGACTCGCTCGCGTGGTTCGGTGTTTTTACGAAACCTTTTACGCCCATCCCGAGGACTTTCCTGTCACTCACGCGCGCTCATATATTCCCTCGACGCTTCTCGAGACTCTCTAGATCCTGTACGATCCATCCGTGGATCCTTCCGCGGCATCTGGAGACGATAGGACGCAAGGCGTTGTCGATAAAACGGAAGAATCCTCCTAACAGTGTTACGGTAAATCTAACAATCACGTTTCTGCCCTTTTTACTTAGAGTAGAAATCCTATCCATCAAAATTTGTTCCGTATCCCCTACACTCTTCCTCGTATTTTGAAGCACTCTGAATCCAAAAGTACTATGATTGTATACATAGAGTTCTATAATTCCAGCAGAGTACTCTAAAGAAAAATCTCTGCAACAAGCTTTCCAATCGTTTCATTCGCCTGTCCATAATTTTTTCAAGTTGCACTTCAGTTTCCCTCGATCGCTTTTTGAAGGTTCTGCGACTAGCCAAGCGAGAATTTATGGGCCAGCTTCCTGTAACACGCGTAAAGAGAGACGTCAAGTGGAATACTAGCGCGCGTGGCGTTGAACGGTCTTTAGGTTATGGACCAGGCTAGAACAGCGCGAGTGTTCAAGGTGGCTGATTAAATCCTGGACTTTATGAGCATTACGCGTCCAGGGCTGAAATACCTTGCCGTGTATAAGTACACGCGCACACTCGCCCGACCGCAATCTATTTACATGCATAAATACGCCTGTATTATGCATGACACGTATACGGAACGGATAGTTGCGCGGGAGCCCCAGTAACATTGTTCCAAAATGACCATTTTTGGTACTCGTGGGAAATTACGAATTTTTACATAACGTGCATCTGCAAGGTAAACGCGACAATGGCGAACTGGGCTCGTTCGAAACTACAATTCCAAAAGGTTAAATAAAAAATCTTGATTTCAAACTGCCTTTTGATTCTGTGAATTTAATGTTAAATAATCGACTACTGAAGCAATCGCTTCACATTCTAAAAAATCGGGAAACAATTGTTCAATCGAAGTGTTACGCAAGAACCGTTCTCTCCCAACGAGTACCAAAACTGGCCATTTACGAGCATCCTCCCCCCCTCGACCCGAGCCATTCCATCGAACGTCGCTGTGTTCGGCGAAGTTTCTAAAAACTTTCGTTCGGGAAGGAACTTGAAGTCGTCGACAAAGTCACCAGGAAACGACGATCTTCGGAACAAGTTGATCCAGGACTCCGTGGAACTTTTAACAAGCTGGCGTATTCTGATTCGTTCACATGCTCCGGAGGTTCGTGCATCACGAATGACACGTGCGCGAGGGAAACGCCGAGAAATTAAGAATTAAACACGTTCGCCCACGGTGTACGCTAACGAGCGCGCACGTGGCCCGTGGCCCACTTAAGCTGCCGTGCAGTGGAGCACAGCTGGCCAACTCGCACTGGAAGAAAACAGTTTTGTTAATTATCCGACGAAAGCAGCAGGCCTGGTCCCACGCTCGGCCGCTATCGACTAAAACGTCACGCGCGGGAATTAACCCAAAAGATTCCTCGCTTTTCCGAGGAAATCGTATCTGCGAAGAAATACATCCCTTTTATACCCATTCTGGTGTAAAACATCGTTTGAAATACTCGCGATGAGATAGAAGATTCTATCGATAGTATAAGACGTTTTGTCGGTAAGAATTGACAATGCAGAGCTCTGATTGACCGAAGATTTTATCAACAGAGTGCCTACACTATCGGTAGAATGACCTGCTTTATCAACGGACTGCCTACACTGCCAAGAGAGTGACCTATTTTATCAACTGACTGCCTACACTATCAATAGAGTCTACACTGCCAACAGAGTAACCAGCTTTATCAACCAGATGTCATCGACGTTTAATCTCAGTTCAGAGAGAAATTCCACACCGTTTCCTTTAACCATTGACAAAAAATGACTGAAACCGAGTTCATACAGCTAAACAGAGTCCAGACTAGAGTTTGCAGAAAAGTTTCCCCCGGCTTGTGTACGGTTTACCGCGACGCACTGCCGCTGTAAGAGGGGAAAAAAACTGTACTATGGTAAATAGCCACGGAGGGCTGTAAAGCAGTCGTTGCCTCCGCTCCGTGACACACAGTGTGGTTAATCCTTCGCTCTAATTTGCGTTTCTTCGGTGTGCCGGCTTCGCGACGAATTCCGCCCGCTTCTGAATGTGACAAAGTGCAAAAAAGTTTCTGTGTACGGGGACAAAACTTCGCCAGACTTCTGTCCGGAAAATAAACGCGTCGAAAATGATTCCTTGATAAAAGTTTGCATAAATTAGTTAGCCGGAAGTCAACCCAGTTGGGGGCATCGTCTCTAATCAAAGTTTCCCAATGGAAAAGAATAACCTGTCGGTTCAGTTGAGATGCGAAACACATGTCGACGAACGAAACTCGAGCATGTCCCTCAATTATAACTGTTATATAATTTATCGATCTAAATTTCTTTCTTAAAATAAAAAAATCTTTACGAGCCTTGAGTGGACCTTGGAATCATTCCGTTGATTTATTTTGTTATGTTTTCCTTCCAACTAACAAAATATCGAAGCATCATCCACAGAACACGTCTCCGCATCGCTAACCTACTCGTTTTCCAGAAGTAACATTTCCACCAAAGGACCAAATCTACAGGGTCGGCCAAAACAATACGATAGTGAAAAAGTCCAAGCTTCGACTTAAAGAGGTCCTCGTGGCGTGCGAATCCGCCGGACGGTTTAAACTAGGATGAATTTGTCTCGTGTCGGCGAAACGATCGGAATGTGTCTGGAAAAGCTTGTCCGCCGGTTCATAATGATTATTATCGCGGCATTTGTAACGTTCCGCGGTTACCTGTTTATTAATGCACGGATATATTGCGATTTATTCGCACGGCGGGCAACGATCGCGGATTATTACAAACCCCGTGCATCGTTTAATTACGACTGTGATAATTTTAAATCAATTACCATTGTTCATTTGTCAATCCCCAGTTCCTCGTAAATTTCATCGAGCCCTGACTGAAACTGCTCGGGCGCGCGGAATTTGTTAATTACGATGGTCGTTTAAGCGTCGCGGCCCCGTCGCCACGCCTCGACGCCCGCACGACCCCGCGCTTCGGACTGTCACGCCAAAACCTCGACAAACTTATCTTTCTACGAGAAAGGATACTCCTAAACGAGAAATAATGGGGCTCGTTGCTATTGAAATTAAGATCTACAGCTTTAGATGGCGATTTTCCCAAGGGAGAATTAAAACGAGATGTTACCTCGTAGAAATTGGAAATATTCGTGAGATTGATGATGTAATGAAATATTGTGTGATAATATATCAATCTTTACTCAAAACATCAAATGGCCTGATCGACGAGTCGGGCAAAAATGACTTGGCACGGAACGTGTTAATCAATAATAATTATTGTGTTTAAGGTCAAGACGCTGGCATAGTGCTCTCGCCACTGATAGGAGTGGTAGTTGGAGCCCTGGTCACGCTGGTGCTGATCATCCTGGTGGTGGTGGTTCGAGTACGGAGGGAGAGGGTATCGAAACCCCGACACGAAAAACCTGCGGAGCTCAGTGAATTACCAGCCCAGCAGTATCCCCTGCAGAACCCCCAGCAGACCGTGGAAACCGATCCTGACGTTATTCCGAATAAATTCGGTAAGTTTCCGGAGTCTCTCGCCAGTCAGCCCACGTTATCGACGAATCGAAGCGGAACGAGCCACCGTTTATAAGATGTGACTGATAGTACGTACCCCGAGCAAGGTAGAAATTGTAAAAAAGAAATAGAAGGATCCCTAATAAATTTTATAAGATAACAAGAAGTATTTATGAACATTTCCATTTCGAATAATACGATAGCCAACGTGCTAAACGATACCAGGGGATTTTTCCACGAGTCGAAATTCTAATTTAAAATCATTTCTGCGCGACTTTACGTCACGAAGAAGAAATTGGGAACGACGCTTTCGCGATGGTGCCCGTCTTCCAAGAATATTCGCAACAATCTCCTCCCTCCCCTGTCTCTATTTTCACGGGCGGCTCTATTGTGCGTGTCTGTTGAATGCAGAGTGCACTCGATCGAAAAACGTTAGCTACGGATCGACTAGGAAGAGCGGTTCTGAATGAGGAAGTTCCAATAAAAGAATATTCGAGAGTACTTGCTCGGGAACGTTTAGTGCCGAAGAACCTCTGCTCCACAACTATAAGGAGTCGTTCAATTTCGTACAACATGTTTCATAACGTATTCACGTACGTCGAATACTCCGTTTAAAGTGTTAATTCTTCCCCAAACTTTCGAGTCTGCTATACTACATCGAGTAAATAGATTGCGGTGCGATATTTGCTCGGAGGTGGTGCCAGGTTGTGTCTTGGCCTAGAACTGGGCGCGACTACTTTCACGAGTATTTCAGTAATTAAGTGATTGAGTCTGTTCCATTTGCACTCAGATGTCCCCTATGATGGAACATCGTAAATCTACAAAATTTTGTTAGTGACAGCACTGCGAATATACAGTCAGTCCCGTTAGAATTCGTACCCTCTACGTTTATTAAGGAAGTTTGTCTAAATTAAATAATAGATTATATGTTTCCAAATAAATGGATAAACTTTACACTTGTATATACAGGGTGTGACTGGATGGCACAACCGAGCAGGGGGGTGATACTACATGAAAAAACAAGTCGAAAAAAAGGGAATTACATTTTTTCGTTTGACGCTTAGTTTTCGAGAAAATCGAATTTGAGAATTTTGAGAAACATGAAACCTATTATTTAATTCGGACAAATTTCTTCAAGGGTACGAATACTTATGGAACTGATTGTAGCTACAGCCCCTGAGGGACACTAATTCCAAGACAGAAAGCCCCCGAGTATATCCGACGCGTTAAAGAAGAATATTTCATTTCCCCGAAACACCATGCAACCCCTTCGCAAGCAGAGTGCCAAAAAATCCGCGCAATATTTTCCCACGACACCCTAATTCCACACCTCGTACATTTTTTTGCGGGGTTCTCAAAACAGAGTAACGGGGTTCGAAAGTGGCACAAGTCACCAGGGAAGGTGGTGGGCGCGAGAGAAAGCCGCGTTAGCTAATTGTCGCGGCCCAGAGTGGCAGTGGCCGTTTCGCTTCATAACGTTCCCCGACGAATCCCCAAAAGAATCCTCTCCGGTTGGCTGTTGCAGAGGGTAGCCTGGTGGAGGTGAGCCCGCCGAGTTATCCAGGCGGATATCCCCCGGGACACTGGGTCACGCCAGGGCCCACCCCGAGCATAGACGAGCTCTGCCACAAATTCACCGGAAGACCGACGGAGCTGAGGTTACCATCGAGGAGCACGATACCGAGTTTGCAGAGCATGCCCATGACGGGGTCCATGACAGCTGCGGGACCTGGCGGCGTGGTGCTGGGCGGCAGCCAGGGGGTCATCGTCGGCGGCGGCCAGGGGGTCGTCGTCGCGGGGGAGTGCTTGGACGGCGAGGCGATCAAGCGACGGCTAATGGCGAACAGGCTTCCCGAGAGCTGCGTGTAAACCTCGTAGCATGGTTCGCTGCCAAAAGCGAGCAGACCCCTTCGAACAGTCAATAGCGAGGACGAACGATGAGAGTCATTTGCGGCGAGTCGACGCCTCCACGACGAGACGCGGTCGAACGTCGAATGGAACGACTCGCAGACAATCCACTGTATCGTCGCGAACGGGACGGGAACGTCTCGATGGAACGGGCACGTCCAAGCGCAAGGATACGGCTACTGTGGGAGCTTGTGATCCACGTGCTCGAGGTAGAAATACAGAGACTCCAGTTATTGTGAGAGTCCGTGATCCAGGTGCTCGAAGGTAGAAATATAGAGACATCAGGGAAACAAGAGGGTACCGAGAGGATAGCCAATATACAGTCAGTTTCATAAGTATTCGTACCCTCTATATTTATTGAAAAAATTTGAATCCTTCGTGTTTCCAAATAAATTCGTAATTGTAAATATATACATGTGAGAAGTTTATTCATGTACATATTTATAATGGAAAATTGATTTGGAAGCATGAAGCCCATCATTTAAATTAGACAAATTTCTTCAATATATATAGGGGTACGAATATTTGTGGGCTTCCAAACAAATTTCTCATTATAAATACATACAAGTGTAAAGTTTATTTATGTACATATTTATAATGAAATATTTATTTGAGAATGTAAAACCTGTCATTTAATTTGGACTAGACGCTAGGTCTTTGAAGCTCTGGATGTTTCCCTTCTCAAGCCTCTTGAACCCCATCGCTACGTTTCTAGCATCGAGCATACCCTCTCAATGATAGAATACCTTATCGCGAGTCTTGGCCATGCCCGTAACGGACGGTCAACGACAAGGAGTCGTCCTGCGAGCACGAGGGTCGCGACGAGCGTCGTTGTTCCGACGCGGGAACGAATACGCGTTAGATTTGTCGAGGAAAGTTTCTAGCCGGGGAACCAGCGCCCGCCAAAATTGTTTTCAAAACGTTTCCTCGACAGTCAGGGCAGAGTTCTTTCCTCCGAGAGAATGAAAGCAAACCACGAACAGAGGAAGGAAGAAGAATCGGCTGGGATAAGAGTTAGGTGGAAAGTTGCCTGCTCTCGAGTTCTCCACCTGGGGAGGACGCCCCGAAGTTGCGTCCTCTGTCTTCGACGTAACTTTCTTCTTCTCGAGCGACTCGGCGCCCAATGATCTTCGACAGTGTCTACTCGCATATTTCTTCTGGGTGCGTGATTCATGTTCGCCCGTAACGCGTGGGAACAGTGAGAGAAACGAACGAATGGGAGGGTAGTTTCAATGTACAGAGTGTGGTGCATTGCTTTGAAGAATGGTTCTGAAGGATGAAATGAGACGAAAATTAACCCTTTGCACTCCTATATAGAGTGAGACTCGACATCAGTTTTTATCTCAGGAGCAAATCAATAAGAAAGGAAATCGTTTCAAGACATATCGTACACTTGAAAATTACAAAATACTTCTAATTCTTCGTAACTTCAAAGCTAAGCATCTACCCCGATTTCGCCACTCTAGAGTTTCGTTACGTGACAGATCTAGAATTCTTTTTTTTTTTTTTTGGACACCCCGAGGACGATTGCGCTTTTCGAAGTTGAATTGGACTTCGAGAACGCTCGAAGAGAAGATTCTGCCTTTCGTCGATTCGCTGATCAACGAATTGGAACGGACGTAAATAAACCCGCGTCTGAGCCTACCAATCGAATCCTTCAGACGTCGAGGCATTAGGCCGAGAAACGCGAGAAAAGATAAAAGGTTCCCGAACGACTCCTCATCCGGTTGCTGGAATGAAGACGGATGGAGGAACCGCTGGAAAATATACGACGGGAGGCCAATGGCGGGGAATATTGGGAAAGAAAGAGGAAGGCGGGGAAAATGAAAGAAGCAGGGAGAATGAAACGATAACGCGATGCTACTTTGCAGAGTTGCTCGGGGGCGCGTGAAACGCGGTTTCGGGGTGCCTGTCGATCGGCCTCGATTACCAACGAAATATTCGCGACTGCAATTTTCACGGGAACCGCGAGTTTCTAAAGAGTTCGCTACGTTATCGATCCCTTACGGTTGTTACGTCCCAACCTGTGCGCCCGTTGTTCGCGGGTACGACGCAATTTTGGCGTTATTCGGATCCAGGGGACGAGATCTAGGCGAAAACGAACCATTGAGAAAATTACGACGCAAGCAAGAATCGACAATAAACGGTGTATGCACGAGAATAGTGATCTGAGGTAGTAATTCGCACACTATTTCGTGCGTGCAAGACGGGTGCGGGCGAAATCTTTGAGTAAACGTTTCTAGAGATCGAAAATTTGGGGGAAATTAGGAACCCTATTTTTTATTCGATTATTTTTCTTTTCCTTTTTGTACTTAGATGATGCCAATCTCTGGTGCAAGTTGTCGTTTGCATCGACGAGAATCGAGTGAAATTTCAAGGGAATAAGGTATTGGGTTGTCCAGAATGTTGGTGCCAATTTTTAAGAAAAATACAAAGGCATATTTGAATTTTGATATATCCCATAATATTCGTACCCTCTGTGTTTATTGAAGGAATTTGTCTAAATTAAATGACAGGTTTCGTGTTTCCAAGTAAATTTTTTATTATATATATATATACAAGTATAAATCCATCTACATATAAACATTGAAATATTTATTTGAAAACATCGAACCTATTATTTAATTTAAGCAAACTTTTTTAATAGACATAGAGAATACGAATATTTATGAGACTGACTGTAAGTGCCATTTTGTTCCATAACCTTTCCACCATTTAAGGGATGAACTCGTGTTATTTGTTTTCAACTATTCCGTATATTCAGACCTGTACCACCTACCAAAAATGGACATGAACTTTCCAGACAACCCAATATCAAATAAATCGTGATACAATCAAGAGATGGTATCTCGGGAAAAGGAACAAGTGAAAAATACCATATCAATATCATATCATAATATACAATAAAGTGTAAAAATTAATGAAACGACACCACAAGTCCAATACCGAGTTAAAAATGTGCTTTAAGTTTAATATTCGTTTCCCTTGGAGGAATCAGTTTCTCGCCAATTGTGGCATGATTTGTGTACGCGTTCGGGATCGCGATAATCGAAATCAGTTGGAGCGACAGAATGAATCACTGTCGCGCGGCCAGCTCGCCTAATTTCATTCGATTCTAGCGACGAACGGAGAAGGAAAGCAAAAGGAGGCGAGGACTCGAGAGTAGAGGCTTTATACTCGGGTGAAAAATTCAATTTATAAGGTCAGAAAAACCGGGCTTCCACGCGACACTTCGCGACGAAGTCATGAAGCTTGACGCCGGGACTAGGAGTAAAAAGTGACAAAGTATATTCCTAAGAGAATGAAGTGAACTTCGTCCAAGACTCTCTCGCTCGGGGGTGGTTTCGCACCTTTAACGCGTAACGGAGAGATGGCTGGACGACCAGAAGAAGACGATAATACGTGGGTTGGTAATGTAGAATGTCGAGGGGAGGGAGAGAGGACGAAGCGTTCGCTTATCGTACGCGTCGAAGATCGAGTGTCGAGTGTTTCTTTCGGTGTATTAAATGAAAATGATAAAAAAATGAATAACGAAAAAAAAGGTAATTAAAAAAAGTCGTTGCTCGTTAGTTAATGTCGTATCGTTGTACATAAGTATGTATCGTTGAATTCGCGATCGAGAATCGACGAACGCGCGCGTGCCAGGAGAATCGAAGCTGATTCGCGACGACCGTTCCACTGGTCGTTGCTTGCCCGATGAAAACCTCTCGACGAACAACGATCTTTATTGATTAGTGTCGATTCTCGCCGTAACGTAGAGCCAGATTCGTTTTTGGAATCGAATCGAACTCCTTTTTCTATCGAAATCCCTCGGAAACCCTCGTCCAGTGGCGCAGTATCCTTAGGAAGCTAGAATCTGGTTTAGTTCAAAGAAGTAACGGACGGGTTTTGCTCAAAACGTAGCCAGGTATCGATGTGAAACTTAAATGTGAAGTTACGTGTGGATGTACTGTTGGCGCGCGAGAAGAACGGATCTGGCGAAATTCATTCTTCTTGCGCGCAAACAAGTACGCGAACAAGTATTTTCGAATGTTTTTTTGAATGGAATACTTTCCTTACAAGTCACAAAGTAAAACGTAATCTCGAATAACTCGTTCGATTCGAGGAAATAAGATTATTTAAATTCGAAAATATTCTTCGACCGGGGCCCTAAGAGTCCATTTCGTCTTGGGCCTCATGGTATAATGCGCCACTGCCCTCATCACGACCAATCGTCGCGAGCGAAATCGCGACGCTCCAACATGGAAAGAAGCGACCCGATCGCCCCTTTTTTCACGTCCATGGAGATTAGCCTAATTGTATGTTCGAATGTCGATCCGGCAAAGAGTACGTTCATCGATGTAACGCGCACAAACCGAAAATTCGCATGAACATATCGCGTGCAACGCTCAATATGTACCTCCTCGTCGACAAAGTTGGGCATTACTCGAATCAATTTCTATTCGACGTGTAAATAAGGGAAAAAATTATCGTTTCTCACGCGTAAAATCTAGATAAATTACTTGAAAGTGTTTTTATCTGAACATTAATGCTCAAACATGACATAATTATTATTTTTACGACTTTCTCGTGTGTTTGTTACCGAAATGAAAATTTGCCCAACTCTGGTCGCCGAGGTACGCAAGGAACGTCCGAAAATAAAGCGTTTCCGATCGTCGACGCGAAGAACGATTTGTTTCTGTTCTCGTCGTTTGTGTTTTTGAGTGGGTGCCGATAACGATAGGAGAATTTCGCGAAAAGCGTGCGAATGGTGTGCCGATGACTTGACGCGAGCGCTGAAACGAACTTAGATACAAAAACGAATGTACATAATCAGCATGATGCTAAAGTCCGTGTAAATCGACGACTATATTTTAAGTTCACTGTATAGGTGATTTCATATCAGAACTCCATATCGTCTACTAACTCGTATGTATATACTACGTAAAGTTTCGATCTGAATAAACTGTTTAACTGTCCAAAACTGAACGTGCTTTGTATCAACCATCCCTCAGGACCGTCCCAGCGCGACCCCGCGCGCTATATTCTTCTCTGATTTTAATCTAGTTACATTCCAGTCGAAAGGAAACTTTGAAACTTCCCACGTCAAAGTTCGTATCGAACATTAATTACAGGGAAAACGGCCAACTTGGAACGACGCCGACGACGAGAGGATACACACGACCGTATCCATCGCGTTGGTTCGAATACGAATCGCTCCACGTCTGGTTGCGGTGAATCGATAACGAGCAGAAAGTGTACCGCAAAATTCATCATCGACCATTGATTAATGGACATTAATCGACTCTAAATACGAGCCTGGAATTGCGACCGTAGCTAGTTAAAGACCGAAACTATCAGTCTTGATAACGACTCGACGACCGCGCTATCGAACCGGTAATAAAACTAAGATTGCGTTCAATTCGATGGGGAGTTTTCGAGGCAAAAGGGATCGTACTATGGAGGCTTCAAGAAATTTTGTCTCTAATGTTTTCGGACTAGTTGTAATATTTATGTTGCTCAATTATTTTTTCTATTTCGATATATTTCTTATGATTTCTATTTTATCCATCGAATAAAAAAATAATTTCTTCAATATGATATGAACAATTATTACGTGGTACAACTATTTATTAACTTTCTAAATATTATTTTTGTACGTTTTTTTTTTTTTTACACCCTCCCTATCAACCGCACGAAAACAGATTTGACTATACACCCTAATTCGCAGAGGTGGCTCTTAGTTTCCCCCTGAAAGCGTGTTTCCAGAGGTACTCACGGCGGGAACTACTAGGAGGTGGACCACTTACTTGGCTATGACCCTTTCTGGGCTTGAACCGACCGCCCAAAGAGAGTCATAATCCCTCCCGCCTTGTTACTTCGACGATATCACCCAACAGTAATTCTAAACGCACATCTACTACAGCTACAACCCCCCCATTAAGTGACAGAACGAGTTTTCAGGATGCATCGATGCTCGAGGAAGCGTTCGCGTGATAAATGCTGGAGCGAAGGCAGCACGCGCCGCCCCATGAAAGAACCGTGGGCATTTAGGCGTGAGTAGGGGTGGTCCGACTCGACGGTGTGCATAAACATGAAGGATGTACGAGCGTGTCGGTTAGAAATTTCACGAGTTTTTCCAGTGGCGTTGATGAATAAGAAATCGTGAGGTTGCCAGGGTAGCTCGTGGCAACACGTAGCAGCGGAAAAGCGGGCGAGGAGCTCTCGTTGGAAAACTCAGTTTCATCGAGTAACCGACCCCTCTTTGATCCTCACCCCTTTGGTTGCTGCTACCCTTCCACGCCCTAGCGTTGTAATCTCGCCTCCTTTATATCTTTCTTCTTATCAGCGGGCCGCGAAACGAGGAGGATCCGAACAAGGATTTCGCGAACGAGACTGAACGCCCCCCATACGTAACGCTGCCTGGGCCTCTTCGTACACGTCGCCAGGGTATCTGCGACGCCACCTCTGGCATCCTTCTTCCGTCTACTCCGCCACCCCCGTCTCGATTGAACACTGCTCGACCAGATACCACCCCTAACCATTTATTTCCACCTTCGACGCGCCAGGAACACCCTGCGTTAGGGGTACTTGAAATTGGACTTCCCAGACAATGTTTACATCCCTCAATTGAACTGTCAATCGACTATCTCCTGTGTTTCTTTAATTTTGTTCGTTCAATTTATAAAGAACTTTGGCTAGTAAGTTTTTATCTTGGTTTTATCGTTAATACAAACCACGTTATCCTATTTATAAGATCGTCCCTTTATATTCTTTTTTCTTCGACCAAACATAAGTTCCTATAACACCCCCTGAAAGATAAATACGTATCGTCCTCCTAACTTGAGTGTTTGCGTTTCATTTAGTCGAGGACAGGGGCAGGAATCGACCAGCAAAGTTGCGAGGATCGCCCGAGGTCGCAGGGATTCGATTAGAAGTTTTTCGACCGCAGCTGCGACGTCGCAGATGGTCGAAAGAATCGACGGACGTGAAGTTGCCCGCGGAGAAGTCGTCCATCGATAAAAGAAGGCTAAAAATGATCGCGTAGTTTCTGCTCGCGTAGCCAGGCCAAAATTCGCGCGACACGTGCCAACTGGAAAAATGATCAAAATTTGAAGGCGTCGAATATTTCAATCCCTGTCACGATCGGACAAAATTCTTCGATGGTGAAGGCGACGGCCCGGCTTGTCGCTCGTATGCTCCCCACCGCGAGAAATTATTCGAGGTTATACCATGCAAAGTGAATGCGCGTAATCTAGAAAAATTTCACGAGCTCTCGAGGAACGGCGGCTTTGAGGAAAATCACCTAACCCCTGGGTTAGGTCGACGTCCTCTCCTTTGGCGAACATTTCGGACCTGAGAACCTGGAAGATTGCTGGTGCGACGTTTAATCTTCCGTGGCACTGCGGACACACGGACTTCTCGAATATACCCTGTGAGTGTTTGCAACTTGGTAATTAGGACATGTGCACGGAGTCTGTTTATTATGAAATAGTGGTCTGTTTTATTGCTGTCTATCTAATCTATGTCTAGCATACTAGGTTAATGATTCTAAAATTTCAGCAATGAAACATTTTTGTAGCAGAAGAAAATAATAATTATTTAAAGAGTACATCGTATGATATTTTGGTGCCTATTAGACGAACAGTTCAACCTGTTGGAACCTTAGAGATTTTCAAGATAGAGACCAGACAGTTTCAGGGGAAAAATGAAGAGGGGGACGAAATGTATCGCTCAGACAATCAACCTGTCTAATCCTGAGACGTGTATTCGACCAAGGCAGATCCAGAAACTCGTCGACGCGGAAGTGATGCAGCCCTGTCCGACTTCGGGATCCTCCTACTGGACC